TTATATTTTTTATAAGAAATTATATTATTTATGAGACTGCAATCACTGCATGATGAAAATAACTTATCATTATTTGCCTTGTTAAGAATAAAAATTAGAAATACACGCATATAGTATAACTCATAAGAAAATTAGCTGTACAAAAATTGGCATAACTGTAACATAATGATAGGGGTGAGCAACATTTAAAAATAAGGACCATGTTTAAACAATCCTTAAAATTATCATATGATTACTCCTTTTGAGAGTTAAACTTGTAATATTGTTGTTACCGAGTCAACAATCTGACCAATTTGACTGAATTTTGGTATTTTCTTTGTAATTCAGCAGTAGTTAATAAGGAGTGATAAAGTATATATATATATATATATATATATATATATATATATATATATATATATATATATATATATATAAAATTAAAAGTAAAATCATCCTTCCACAGTTTTTTCGCCCAAACTAATTGTATTGGTCAAATTATTTAATTATAGTTAGACTATGGAATAATTAATGATGGTAATAGAAATCCTAGAATAATATAGAATAGAAGAATATTTAATTATTAGTTATATTATTATTGTAATATTACACTATAATATTCTGTTTTTAATGTAGCAGAATATAGAAGAATATTTAATTATGATTATATTCTTCCAAAAGGTTGAACCCCAACCTTAAGGGCCCCCCACACCCCGACCCGTGCAACGCTGATATGAGCATAATTAATATATTTTTATTCTACAACAATATCATAAATTAATATTATGCTAATTGATAATTAATAATTAATAAAATTTAGTATTAATTTGACTATTAATATAGATTTGCATAAATATTTCTTATTCAATTGACTCATTTATGAATTGGTTCAACGAATTCCGTGTAATATTTACAAAACCGGAACTATATTGTTAAAATTGTATTTTAAAAATATTAAATAAATTATATGAATTAAATTTGATATTTGCATAAATATTTTTTATTAAATAGACTCATTTATGAATTGGTTCAACGAATTTACAAAAGGGTAACTATATTGTTAGAATGGTATATTTAAAATATCAAATAAACTATATTAATTAAATTTGATTACATTGTTAAGCCACCTACAAATACATATTATTAAGCCACGTACGAATACATGTGCGTCATAACTGCTGTAATAAATTTTATTAATTATTTATTATATAATTATGCTCCGTAGCATACTACAAAGAACTGAAGGAGCCTAATTGTATACGTATATATTAATTGAATAAAAAATATTTTAAATATTGCAAAATATAGACTAATTACTTATGGAAATATTATTATGGTAATATTATACGGAATTGGTTGAATCAAATCAAAAATTAGTCAATTGAATAAAAAATATTTAAAACATGATAAAATATATACTAATTAATTATGAAAATATTATTATGGTCATATTACACAAAATTGAAATTGGTTGAACCAAGTCATAATTGAGTCAATATATATATATATATATATATATATATATATATATATATATATATATATATATATATAGGGATGCACTCAGGTGCGAATAAGTGCTCAGGAGGGAAATGCGAACGAATCAGCGCGCGACACGTGTCCAGATCTAATAACTTAAAAAAAAAACGCGGTGGCATTTTCGTAAATAATTGAACATCGAAGTACAAGTAAAATCACTTACAAGTGCACCTACTTTCACCTATAAGTGCATGTAATTTTGCCCTGTTAGCATTCACTTTCCGCAAACATTCATGCACCTCGGTGTGCTTATAACTATATGTGCAACTATTTATAACTATAGGTGCAACTACTTATAACTATATGTGCCCCTACTTTCACCTATAAGTGCATGTAATTTTTCCTTGTTAACATTCATTGATCTGAGTTCAGCGGGTAGTAATACCCCTGAAAACCACTCACAAACATTCATACACCTAGGTGCAACTACTTAGAACTATAGGTGCAACTACTTAGAACTATAGGTGCAACTAAGTATTGATGCTCAGTGTAAATTTTTACTTGCACCGATAATACATTTTACATGCACTTGTAATACATATTACTTGCACTTCGATGTTCAATTATTTATGAAAATGCCACCGCGTTTTTAAAAAAAAATCAGTGTTTCTCATCCATTAGATCTGAACACGTGGACGGACAGAATCCATTCCTATTTCGCGCCTGGGCGAAGCATTCGCACCTGAGTGCGATTATATATATATATATATATATATATATATATATATATATATATATATATATATATATATATATATATATATATATATATAACTAAAAATTAATTAATGTTACACGGAATATTATGAATATAAACTAATTAATTATGAAAATATTATTAACGTGTACATTTTTTTGAATTAAGTAATAATTAATATGTATTTCTTATATGGTATTATGTAATATATATATATATATATATATATATATATATATATATATATATATATATATATATATAAAACTAAAAATTAATTAATATTACACAGAATATTATGAATATAGACTAATTAATGAATTAGGTATTAACGTTTACTTTTTTGAATTAACGTGTATTTCTTATATGGTATTGGGTAAAAATATCATTGCATCTAATATTCTAATTGGTTAATTGACTAATTGACTGAAAATAAAAAAGAATAATTGACTGAAAATGAATATGATATTTCTAATTAACTGAAAATATAAAAGAAATCAATATTAATAGTTGACTGCAAATAAAAAATGATCTATAATTGACTAATATGAAAAAATAAAGGGATAAAGTACAAATAAGCCATTGAACTATTTGGAAAGTAGCAATTAAGCCATCGAACTCAAATAACCCTCAAATAAGTCATTGAATCCAGAAAAAAAGAGCAAATAAGCCATTGAGCCCTTTGTACTCGGCCGTAGTGTCTGAAATTGGCCGAGCAGATTGAGGCATCTAGCCCGGGTAGAGGACGCCAGATGGAGAGCCAAACGTCGCGTGACGTCTCCCGGCCAACAGCTAGCGGCATGACCTCGTCGGAGAGAGACGAGATCAGGAGAGACAGGATCAGTTGATCCTGTTGGATCCACGCCGCATGCTCGGGGTTGTCGACGACCGAGCCAGCCGCGGTGGTGTCGGAGGAACCTGGCTGCGTCGCTGCTGGGAGTGTCGCCGGAGGACAGTGATGGCTGCCGTCAATGTATCCTAATAATCCTTGGCCACGCAAAAATGGAATAATTTGGGTGCGCCAATAAAGAAAATTGCGGTTGGTTAATTTGATGGATACAAAATGATGAGCGGCATTGAGGGAATTTCCGGTCATTTGAGAGGGAGGGGTGGTGATTACGGTTCTTTCCGATGAGTTTGTCGACATGATACGGTGGTGGAGAAAAAAGAGGGAGGATGCTTAGCCTAACGCTAACTGATACCAGATGAACAAACTCAGTTCTGATTCAACAGAGAATACAGGATAGAGACATATAGGAAAGCTACCACTAAAAGCTCCTATACAATAGTTTAGACTAGTCAATTAAACTACAGCCATAGACAAATAAACTATAGAATATATTATTACTAACAATTTGTACTTTATCCCAAAAATAAATGGTTAGATCATTGCATTTAAAAAAAAAATGGAATGGAAATCAAAATTGGTCGGAAATATTTCAATAATAATATTCGACATCATAAATAGTAAATGCATATTTTAAACAATAGCAAAGGTAAATTAAAAATGAAACGGAAATATTTCAATAATAATATCATACATTATCAATTAAAATGGAATATAAATTAGGTAAAAAAATCACTGCATATGATATTTTAATTGACTAATTGACTAAAAATAGAAAAGAATAATTGGCTGAAAATGAATATGATATTACTTATTGACTTAAAATATAAAATGATTGTTAATTGAGTAATACTATACCACTATATATTTTTACCCGAGTCACCCAATGAACTGAAGGTGTTAGTTCTAGACGATGATGGACAAGATTGTGTTGTTACTACCAATGTCGTCTACAAAGAGATTTCAATAATGTGTAAATACAATCGTTGATATTATGTTTTTTTAAATGACAAAATTGTTATATATCTAGACAAAAAATATATATCTTCCATACAAATGAATTAAGATAGCAATTCATTCCTATAACTAAGTTGCTAGAGAACGAGCACATATGCCTAATTTATATATATATAAAAATACTAAACAACGGTAAATAAAATCTCCAAAGTTACAGCACCGCATGCGTACATCTACACATTATCTATTAATTTGAGCAATTATTTGCTCAAATTCAAACAATGATACCATCAAAACACGTAAATAATCCATACCATATCTTCAATTGAATTATATAATATTTGATATTCTAACTTAAATAATTATATATCATATCGATCCAAATATTCTTAATATATTACAAAAAATTCATTCCGTGCATCGCAAGGGCGAAAATACTAGTTATGGGGTAATAAGTACTTCCGTAAAAATAAGTAATATGAGAAAGTAGAAGGGTTAATTTTATTTTTTGTCTTAAATTTATAGATAACAGTTCACTTTTAGTTTTTTTTTTTTATATCATAATATCCACATTTGGTCATAGTATTATTGTGGCATGCCAATTGGTCTTCTATTAACAAAACAATTTTAATGTGGTTAAATACAAAAGAACTTCAATCTGTTTTTTTTTTTTAAAAGAAACATAAAAATATAACGGGGTAACTCACTTTGCATAAAAATGATCGAAATGTCTTTGCATATAATGACATTTCAACGATTTTATTGAAAAAGTACCAAAAACGGTCATGCTACAATAATACTATAACCAAATGTGAATATCCGAATTAAAAAAAAAAAAAAAAAAAAAAAAGTGATCTCACACTTATAAATCTAGGATGCAAAATTGAATTAATGAAAGTAAAATATTAATTCTCAGAAAAAAAAATATTAATTGAGATTCTTGCATTAAATATTGAGATAACAGTTTAACACAGAACCACTACTGTAACTGTTACTCCGAATTTCTCATGCATATCACCCTCATCGTTCTGCTATTTAGGAGAGTCTCTGTTACTTTCTTCTCAAACCCAGTTTCTTCTGCAATATAATGTAATATTCAAGCTTACAAATTGGTAGATTCCATCTTGTCAAACCCTTCCTCGATAGTCTGAGAACAATATTTTTCAACTTTTCATAGCAACCTCAGCTCTGACCCGAAACTCTCTGCTAGATTCAATTTTATCGGCTGAGATTCTATATATACATTCATATCCATCTAATTCTTATCTGAAGATCAGAGATGGAAAAAATCGAATTTGATGTGATAGTTGTGGGGGGAGGAATAATGGGCAGCTGCGCAGCTTATCAGTCAGCCAAACGCGGCCTAAGGACCCTCCTTCTCGAGCAATTCGATTTCTTGCACCACCGCGGCTCCTCCCATGGCGAGTCCAGAACTATCCGGGCAACCTACCCGGAGGAATATTATGCCAAGATGGTCTTGGCCGCCGAGACTCTGTGGCGCGAAGCCGAAGCCGAGATTGGCTACAAGGTCTTCTTCAAGACCCGGCAGTTAGACATGGGACCGGCGGACAACACGGCTTTGCAAGCCGTCGTTTCAAGCTGCCGGAAAGTTTCCATTCCGGTTCGGGTTTTGGATCCGACACGGGTTTCGGAGGAGTTTGGGGGCCGTTTTCAGTTACCGGAGAATTGGGTCGGCGTTGTGACTGAGCTCGGCGGCGTCATTAAGCCGACCAAAGCCGTTTCCATGTTCCAAGCGCTAGCTGTCAAACACGGCGCGACTCTGAGAGACCACGTGGAAGTTAACGGCGTGGAGAGAGATAACTTGACGGGCGGAATCTCCGTTACCGCGAAAAGCGGAGAGAGATTCTCGGGGAAAAAGTGCGTTATCACGGCCGGCGCGTGGGTGCGAAAACTGGTTACCGCGATCACCGGTTCCCGGGTGGTGCTTCCGGTTCAACCGCTGGAGACGAACGTCTCCTACTGGCGGATCAAAGAGGGGCACGAAGGAGATTTCACTATCGAAAACGGCTTCCCGTCGTTCGCCAGCTACGGAGAGACGTACGTGTACGGAACGCCGGCGCTTGAGTTCCCGGGACTGATCAAGGTAGGGTGGCACGGCGGCCGCGAGTGCGATGCAGAAGGGCGCACCTTTGCGCCGCTGGCGAGCTCTATACCGTCGTTGAAGCAATGGATAGAAGGACGATTCGGGGGCCTGGTGGACTCGTCGGCGCCGGTGATATCGCAGTCATGCATGTATTCAATGACGCCGGACGAGGACTACGTGATCGATTTCCTGGGCGGGGAGTTGGGCAAGGATGTGGTTGTCGCCGGCGGTTTCTCCGGCCACGGATTCAAAATGGGGCCCTTAGTGGGCCAGATATTGGCGGATCTTGTCTGGAGTGGGGACCCACATGACTTGGCGCACTTCAGGATAGATAGGTTCAAGGAGAACGATAAGGGAAACGTGAAGGATTTTGCGGATCAAGTTAATCGCAAGGCAGATTTTTTAATGGGACGATTATAAACATTTAATTACTGTAATTGGGCTTCCTTTTGAAATAAAATTTGTATTCAAATCTTCTAAATAGTACACTACTACTACTACTACTATTATTATTATTATTATTATTATTATTATTATTATTATTAAATGGATGCAATCAATTATATGCTACTGCATCAAACGATCATATCGACGAAAACAGAATCATTTTGTTGCAATAAAAAATATATGATATCTTCTTAATTTATTAGATTGTTATTATTTTATGTACCATTGCACTTCACGTTTTATTGGACTAAAGCACACTAAAGTCCAATTTGAACATGCAACTTTCATGATTATTAACGTTTTTAGCTAGATAAAATACATTTCTTAATTAGATATTACTTTAAAAAATTTACACAATTTCACATGAACTCCACAAGATATGGTAAAGTAATATTTAGTTAAGGTCAAGTGGCAAGAAATTTTTTTCTTCCACAACGTGATTCTAAGTTTGATAACACCACCTATTATTATTATATAAACCTAATGAATGATCAATGTTCTTTAATAACATAATATGAGATCAAACTTTCAAATTCAAATCATATATATATATATATATATATATATATATATATATATATATATATATATATATATATCATGGTTGAAAAAATCGCTAGGCGTTGGAGGGGGCGCCTAGCGCCCGTGGTTTTTTTTAATTTTTAATTTTTTAACATTTCTTTGAATTTTTTAATTTTTTAAGACTTGATAATTATAAATTATTTAATACTTTAATAGTTAACACTAAAATATTAAATATTAATCTAAAAAAACATTTAGAATTTGAACAATTTAGGGTTATTTCGCTTAAAACGATGTCGTTTTAAGTAAAATAATTCATTTAAAAAGAAGAAAACAATAGCTAATCAACCGACTAGGCGGCCTAGTCGGAGCCTATGAGGCCGCCTAGACCACCGATTATAGTGATACGCTAGGCAGCCGACCAGTGCCTAGGCGCCGATTCATCGGTGCCTATTCGAGATTTTTGCAACATTGGTATATATATATATATACATATATATATATATATATATATATATATATATATATATATATATATATATATATATATATATATATATATATATATATATATATATATATATATATATATATAGGGGATAGTTCACGTGCAAAGCTTGAAAATGGGGTAAGATATGAATCGTTGATATAATCTATATCAACGGCTCAAATTGAAGAAAAAAAATTTTTTTAAAAAATGCGCTTCCTAAATGTAAATGATCAAGTGTCTCGAACTGATGCACATTAAGCTATAAACTTATGCACCTTAAGATATAAACTTACGCATCTTAAGCTTTAAACATACACAATTTAAGAGTTAAATTGATGCACCTTAAACTAAAAAGTGGCACACTTAAGTTTTAAACATACGCACCTTAAGCTATAAACTTACGCACCTTAAGCTTTAAACATACACATCTTAAGCTATAAACTTATGCACTTTAAGACTTAAAGAGTTAAACTGATGCACCTTAAACTTAAAAGTGATGCACCTTAAGCTTTAATTTAAACATACGCACCTTAAGTTATAAACTTACGCATCTCAAGCTATAAAATTACGCACCTTAATTTTTGACTTACGCACCTTAATTTTTGACTTACGCACCTTAAGCTGTGAGCTTACGCACCTAACGCTACTTTAAGCTATAAACTTACGCACCTTAAACTTTGAACTTACACACCTTAAGCTTTAAACTTACGCACCTTACGTTGTAACCTTACGCAAAATGACCATAATGACAACACATTTTTCTAAATTGTTCTTCATTCTGGACTGTTGATTTTGGCAAGATCAAAGACTGTGTGTGTGTGTGTGTGTATATATATATATATATATATATATATATATATATATATATATATATATATATATATATATATTCTTAAAATTGTCTATAGTGTTCATATCTATAATTTTGAAGGTAAATTTTGAAGCTGCATACCTTTTTTTTTTTTTTTTTTTTTTTTGTCATTATAATGTCAACACCATATATAAAATGTCTCTAAAAATATGAAAAATTGATTGTCATGTTACATTAACAATGTATTGTTTACTTTCTTTAGGAATTACTAGTAGGAGTGGTCTAAATCGAAGTCCCCATCAAACACAACAAATCCACATGCAGGCATATATATGATATATTAGTACTACATGGATTGAAGCGCAAAATATCTTTCTTCTTGATAGTTCAACAGCAAGCTAAGTAAGTATATAGTACTATGGATGAGTAGAGGGCATATGAATAGAAGAAACAGAAACTTTGTCATATGAAAAAAAAAAAATGTTATTATATCAAATTTAACCTGACTGAGTTAATGTGTCACATTTATTTATCAATTTTAGAGTTAATTTCCCCAGATGTCCCTTATCTTTGATGGTAATTTCAAATTTAGTCACAGACTATCGTTTGTGTCATTTAACATCCCAGACTATTATTTTTTGGACACTTTTAGTCCATTTTATGACTTTTTCTATTTTTAGTAAGGACATTTTTGTCTTCTCATATTTTTCTTTTGTAATTTTTCTGGTTTCAACCGGTTTAATCGATTTAGAACTTTAGGTAACATGATGTTTAGTAACCATATTTTTCAACGAATTTTTAGTAATTAAAGCTCTAAACCAATTAAATTGGTTGACAACGCCATCGCCACCAGCCCCTTCTTTGTCCGCGACCTCTGTTCGTCGGAAATTGACCGGCTGTGCAACGACCTCCAGAAGTTTCAGTGACCACCAATCGACGATCCGACCAACGGCGAACGTTCTCTGGACATCCCCTACACCATCCACACCATCTGATCCTCCATGCAACAACTCCATCGTCGGGGAAGCTTCGAGCGAAGAAGTCTGGGTCCGATTGCGAGAAGCCTCTGTCGACCTTCGACCGCCAATCTGATCAGCGAGAACAGGTCTCGACGCATCCCCAACACCATCCATGGCCTCTGATCGTCCATACAATGGCTCATTCGTCGGCAAAGCCTGGTCGGAATGCGAGAACCTTCGAACGTCGATATCCGGTAGTCGATCACCACTCATCGTGGTCGCATCACCAAGGTGGAGACAACCACCAATTTACATCGACCAAAGAGAATTGGAGGTAAAATAGGAAATAACTACTTTTGTCTATTCCTGAGAACTCAGGAATAGCCTAATACAAAGCGGGGCCAGGAATCTCTATTCCCCTTGCATGGGGAATAGGTCATTCCCAGGAACATTGTTCCTGGGAATAGAAGTATTTACCAAACAAAGGAATAGACCTATTAGTAGGAATGTTGTTCCATTCCAGGCCTATGTCGTGAACTAAACGTGCCATAAAAGTGTTCAAAAAATAATAGTCTGAGATGTTAAATGACAAAAATGATAGTCTGAGACTAAATTTAAAATTGTCATTAAAGACAATGGACCTCTGGTGGAATTGACTCTAAATTAAATTTGATAATATCATCATAGTTGGATCATACGAAAGCATGTTGAATAGTAGTACATATAAATTAACTATAATATAAAAATGAGTAGGAGATGCATTACGCATAAGATATGCATAGTACGTAATATGCATCTTTATTAGTCCTAATTTATATTGGAAAACCACACACCACCAGTTGAACACCACTGACTGAGTTAATGTGTCACATTTATTTATCAATAAATTAAATTTGGTAAATGGTAATATCATCATAGTTGGATGATACGAAAGCATGTTGAATAGTACGTACAAATTAACTATAATATAAAAATGAGTAGAAGAAGCATTACGCATAAGATATGCATAGTACGTAATATGCATCTTTATTAGTCCTAATTTATATAGGAAAGTGAAGAAGGTAATAAGATACTGGTCTACAAGAAAGAGGGCCAATAAACTGATAATTTTCTGCAATCTGATCAACTTTTACGATCAGCTTCCATTACTGTTCTGTTCTACAGGCGAGTCAAACAAACTCTAACCTAATCATGGTTTCTCCCCCTTCTTCTCATCGAGAAAATTGAGAGATTTCAGAGAGCAACCATCCACCCTTTCGACCCAACACCCACCTATCTTTATTTGTCTTTTCTTCATTTCCCAAACTACATAGTTGGTGGAATAGATTCTCTTACCCTGTTTTTATATCAATTTTTCTAGTCAACTGCCTTAAAATTAATGTATATGATCATACCCCAAATCAAATCATAATTTTGCTGAACCAAAAACAATTTGAGCGAGCACCCTTTATCAATTGTGCTGCTAGGGATCAAAATTCATTTGGGTTTTGCAGAAAGATCTGATCTTTATCAGAAATCTTGAGGTTTGGTGGAGGATCGGAGGCATGAATTTCAGGAGCATGGAGGAGTTTTGGGGTTTCTACATGAACCAGCACACCAAGGCAGCAACAAGGCGGTGGCATTTTACAGGCACACTGTGTAGTATACTGTGGTTGATATACTCAGTGGTGTTCAACTGGTGGTGTGTGGTTTTTGTGCCTGTGTTTGGGTATGGCTTAGCATGGTACAGTCATTTCTTTGTGGAGGGAAACATGCCTGCAACTTTTGGGCACCCATATTGGTCTTTGGTGTGTGATTTCAAGATGTTTGGATTGATGCTCACTGGCGGGATGGATAGAGAGATTAAGAGGCTTGGTAAGAGGCCTGTCTTGCAACCTTATTGATCCTCTAAGGGAGCTCTCAAGAATGGAGTTGAATTATACCTACCTGTAACAGTATGTTCATATTGGTTTGCTTTCTGTTGTATTCTTATGGGTGCTGCTGCTTTAGTTATTTTCTGAAATGGACAAAATTGTTGATGTTATAGGCAAATTTTTTGTTGCTCAAAAATCAAAATCACAAGCCCTGTTTGATAACATAGTTAGCTTATCAGCCATTTTTTACTATGAGTGTTTGATTAATTAATTTTTTGTAACAGCTTATTGCTCTAAAATGCTAATTAAATTCAAAAAACTGCTCAAAGTAACTTTTTCGATCAATTTTTTGAGAAAATCATTTTACATGTAATCAGCTATCAGCTAATTTAACAAACACTTTTCTACAATCAACTAATGTTACTAACAACCATTTACCAAACACTCTCATAGATTCACTGTGAAACACAAGTTTATTATGGAACCTAGTAACCACATCGACATTATTAACATTATTATAGGTGCAGCATTTCTTTGCTAATTGTAATACTGATCACTTATTACTCCAGATCAGACAATAAAAAGCCTTCTAACAAGAAGCAGAATGTGGATTACCAAAATAAATTGTGGGAACCAAAATTCAGGTGTCTCTGTATATATCTCAGTGGCCTTAAAAATAATTTTATCAAACGGTGACATTCACATTGGAGACTTTTGACATCTCATAATGTTACATGTTTGGCCTTACTGTAATCAAAACTCCTCAGTTACAGGGTTTGTTCAAGCTAACATGTCCCTCTGTAGTAGGGATTGTCACGGTTTAGTATCCCTCCCAAAACATCCATGACATTTTCTCTAAGCAACTGGTGTTGCTACAAGGATCTCGGCTCGAGGCTCTGTCAGGGACTCACTGCTTCACTTTCTGTTATCTACTATTGCAACTTTGTCAACTTTCTTATGAACACATCACAAATCAGTGTTTCGTGAAAATGATGGCAATGGCATTGCTTCCTGTGGACGAAGAATGACTAGCACTGCGAACATCCCAAGCATCGGAAGTACAAGAAGCCATTTCAAGAGTTTGTAGTAATACATATGGAATGTGATGGAGAAGTCGTCTGAGAAATAGAGCCCATTCTTGTCAACCATCTCCACCACTACTGTCCCACCAGTCCTAACCCCCACTGTTGGAAGCTTAATCCGGTGTTTCCCAGGATTCTCAATTATCTGGTTGTGCTTTATTGTCCTCTCCCCTTGATAATTTCCAGGAACCAGCAAATTTACCTGTTTTAGACGGATCAGACAGGAATAAGAGATTTTATCCATACGCTAGATAAGTGAATGGTATCTGAGCATATAAATTTCCAGCATCGCTAAATAGAATCTTACCGTGACATTATATGGAGCTTGAGACCCAGATGGAAATCTGTGTTTATCTACAATCTCTATTTCAACCCAGAAGTTCTTGCCTTCTTCATCACGGAAGGCTCTGGATGATGGAGTAACATATATACCTTCACGATTATAACGGTATGCAGCATTGTTTCTACCCTGGTTAGGTGATCTCCAAGCCTAGAAATGCGTAATATCAAATATCAATTATGAACAGTAAAACACAGTCAATTCATAGAACAAAATGTTAACCTACTTTGAGGGGATGATGTGGAGAAGGAGTTGAGAAGCAGAAGACATTTCCATTCATTGTTGTCACAATGAGATCAAGGTCATCTCCTCCGTCGACATTATCTGCCAGGACCATGCTGTATCTGTTATTATAAGAAAAGAACAAATGACATCATTCTGACGTTACAACAGAAGTATACGAGAAGCTATAAAAAACAAAAAAAAAAAAAAACAAAAACAAAACTTTTGGATACTTGAGATTAACTTACGAAGTTTCTCCAATATCCACAACATCAGCACATGATGTTTGCCCATCGATTAGATACAAATATCCATCAAATGATGTAGTAACAAGTGTAAGTCCCTTCTTCTTCTCTCCTCTCTTGCTCAAGTCGACTAGAAGAACTTGATTCATCACCCTACCATGAGTTCTATAGGGATAAGGCCGCACAATTGACCCATCCTTGCCACTCAAGACATATATATTGCCTGAAAGTGTTGGAACAACAACATCTGTGTTTCCATCTCCATCCACATCACCTATTGTGGGACCCTAAAGAAAATAACTTGTCAAGAATAATATATTCACAAAGAATGCAAATTCAAGAGATGAGATGCTGCATATCACCTGGGGAATGAGGCTCTTGAGATGCTTTTCCCATATTTCTTTGCCTTGTGCAGTCCATGCAGCTACATTTCCATGTGTATCAGTTGTCACTAGCTCAATCTTGCCATCATCATTGATATCAGCAGCAACTACTGACCCTTGGATTTCAGCCATTTCAAGAGGAAATTTCTCCCTCACTTTGCCTAATATGAGAAGTCATCTCTTATACAATGACAGCGGTGACAAGAGTAATAATAATGATACCAAAATGATTTGAATATGGAATTGACTAGGACTATATTCCTAATTCACCGCTGTTTCAAACATAAGAATGGAATCCACAAGACAAAAGGGAAAACAATAAATTTTACTTGCAGATTGTTTTATTAGAGATCCATCCCTAATCTTTAAAAAAGAAGGTTATGAGTTATGACATGTAGCTGATGAAAAGATCTTGAAAACTAAAAGATAGACAATCAATTACCCTTGTGATCCAAGACATAAAACAAGCCATAGGAAGTTCCAACCAGGATATCCAGATTTCCATCACCATCCAAATCAACTACTGTAGGGGAAGAGTATATGTAGGCACGGAAGTTTCCAGTATCAGTACTCAGATCCAGCTGTGTACTCCATTTAACCTGCTTAGTATCCAGATTGAAAACAACAATGCCACCAGCAACATACTTTCCAATTTCAATACCTCCAAGTTCCTTCAAATGTTCAGGATTGTCATAATATCTGTGAAATTAAAACGAATCTGGTGAAATTTGTTCATGTGAGATACACAAGGTATAAAAACTCATAAAGATATCATGTATTTCAATCAAATGCTTTGTAAAGCCAAGGAGGTGTATAGCACAGAGAAATATCTGCTACTCAGATAAACTATACAGAAAATACATAATTATATTGGGGACGCTTGGATTTAAACCCGCAACCCTAGCTATCAACATATATTTGAGGGAGAAGTATATTACTCGTGGTCAAAGAAGTATGACACTGCAACAACCAGTTCTGACACGCCATCCTTGTCAATGTCTGCTATAACCTGAAGTTTTTCAATGTTAATTAATCATATAATATAGTAATATAAGCAACTGAGTAAAATTTCAATTCTATCAGACTCACAGGAGTACACAAAACATGTGCATCAACATTCACATAATTTTCCATTTTTTCATGTTCTTCTTCTGTCCACTCCTCATCTCCCCACATGTTCTCATCAACATAATCATCATAATCATAATTATACTCATCAGCCAGTTCATCATTATCCCGGAATAATTCAAATGATGAATCAGCATCTGTGTCCAGACCACCTTCATTTTCCACAGTTGCAGCATGAACACCCTGGTCACCTGCCTTTTCTTCAAGAAGCCTTCTCCTAGTGTCAGCCTTCTCAACATTGGTAATTGTCTCATTTGAAGAACCTGGGACAACACTGGTAATGTTCCTTGACAAATTAGTTTCAGTATCTATTTGATTATCTCTTCTCTCGCTTTGGTTTTCCACTTCCTCTGCCTTCATTGTGTCATTGGAAACTCCAGGGGTCAAAGAAATTGAATCATTATTGCCAAGATGAGCTTCATTATGTGTAGACACATTTTCATGGTGAGCTTCTTGGGGTGTAAAATTCAACTCAGGATGAACTTCTGTAGTGGTGTGAGAACTGTTTGGGGGTGTAAAATTCACCTCAGGATGAACTTCTGTAGTGGTGTGAGAACTGTTTGCACCCTGAGTCACACTTCTGTTTTGTCCTATAGAGGTTTGGAAATTAATGATATATTATACTAAGGGACAAAAACAGTGATAAGAATGTAAATTCAATACATCAACTCTCAAAGAAAGTGATTATTGCAGACAATTGGTAACTTGAGACTTGAGACAAGTATTTGCAAGAATAACTTGGGTGGGGGGAAAGGGAGAGGAGCAGAACTTACGGGCTAGTGACTCAATGAAGGCTTCCTGGATGAGCTGGTCATCATGAACATCTGGATGAGAGCGATCTACAGGGTCCGGATTTAAACCCACAAACCAATTCTGTTTAACTCTCAGCCGAGGAATCACTAATTTATCAGACATCATGTAGCCAGAGACCCTATTTAAAAGTATAAATAAATAAGATAACACAGAAAAAGTAAGTCCAAGAGAAACCATAAGATGTCAAACAATTAAGTTATACTCTGTACATACACACACACACACAAAAAGGGAAGGGGAAGGGGGAGGGAGAGAGAACCTTTGGGGAGAGGGGGAATGAGAGATATAGATTATAGATTATTACCTGAAAAAGAGAACCTCACCATTGTATGTGGCCAAGCCTATCTCTCGTACACCATCCTTGTCAATGTCATATTGGAAAGGGCTAGAATGTACAGTTGATTGATGGAAAGCCGGCCATCCTGATGAATATTGCCAAAAAGAAAATGAACCAAACAAACAAATTTAGGAATTCACTAAATTTGCTTCATAATTAGACTGGATCTTAAGTGTCATTCTTTTGCATGCATTATTTGTCATTCACCTTTCAATTTACAATATCAAAATAAGAAATTTTAACATTCAACAATTCCAGCAAGAGTTTAGGCAAACTTTTAACTGTACTCATAATTTATGTTCACAGGTTTGTTTAGTTTATTCTAGACACTCAAGCCTGTTTGTCTAAACCTTACAGCCAGCTCAAAAATACAAGTTTTACCTGGGACTTTATCTCCATCAGAACCTTCAAGAACTTCCAAGTAATGAACAAAAGAAGGAACTACCACTTCAAGCTTCCCATCACTAAGAAAAAAACTCATTATTTTCAGGATTAATTCATAAAGGAACATTAATAGGAGAGAACAAATAACAAAAACTAGTCCTTGATATACACAACTCATAGCCACAGGGAGTAAACACATCCTGTAAAATTCACTCATAAATAATAAATATGATAATAATCTTCTGTAAAATAGATTTTTTACTGTCCACTACAATTCGGGATTCAATGTTGAAAAGAAAAATCAAAGAAAGACAAATTCATTTGTCTCATTTGGACACCACAGGAATTCACCAAAAGAAATACTCCCTCCGTCCCGAATTGGATGTCTCATTTACTTTTTGCACGCTTTTTAATGAATTAAAGTAAATGTTATGCACTTTCCAATTATGCCCCTCACTTTTTCACTTTTGAAAATAAAAACAATAAAGAAAGCAAAAGCTAGAAGGGTAATTTGAAAAAAGTAGAATGATGGTGATGTTCAATTTTAGAAAGTGGACAACATTTTGGGACAGACTAAAAAGGAAAGTAAGACACATAAAATGGGACAGAGGGAGTAACTTTTATCTTTTTTCTGCGATAGTAAATTAAACAAACAAAAATAACTATGAAATTGAACAGAAACAAAAAATGGTAGAAACAATGATTTCACAAGAGGTTTATTGGCAAACAGGATACTCACCTTTGAATTTCAAACAATTTGAATACTTTTTTTTTAATCAATTTATTCATATTTAAATTATTCATTTTAACCCTGAGCAAAGGTAGAGAACGGAAATCTTCCTAGAAAGCTTCTCCTACCAGATGATCTCTGTTGGCAATCATCACTGATGATGGCCACCCCCCACCAAAACTGCACATCTCAGGTGTTCAACAGCTATAAAAAATCATCATTCATAAAATCTAGAGCAACCAATAGAGACAGAGATACGAAATTGGGAGCCCAGTCCTTTCCTCACTTTTGTTTTAATCACATTTCCCTCATGTTTTCATGACTTTTTCTTATTGTTTACTTCCATTTATTTTCCCCCATGCTTCTTTTGGTTCAGTATCTTCAATTTCTTATGTACTGAATTCCTTGTTTCAAAATTCAAACACAAAAATGATGGTAGTCTTACAAGTTACTGATAAAATGAATGTCAGGTGTGCAACAGCTACCAAAAGTATTCATGGTTCATTAAATCTAGAGCAAGCAAGAGAGATCAGATTGGAAATTGGGCACCCAGTCCCTCTGTCCTCACTATTTTCCTGTGTCTATTATTCTCACTTCCGTTTAATCACATTACGCTCAGTTTTTTTTTTTTTTAAATTACTTATTGTTTACTTCCATTTCTTTTCATCCATGTTCCTTTTGGTTCCAAAGGTGAGAAATCCATTTATATTTTACAGTATTTTTAATTGCTTATGTTTGCCAAAGTCCTTGATTCAGACACAATAATTAACGATCAAGTTTTTTTCCATATGAGTTGCAGATAGAACTAAGCTCATTTTTTTATATTTGATAAGTTTATATATTATTGATTGGTTGGCCTTCAAATCATTATCACTTTTAGTTAGGTGAAGAAGGAAGTAACACCATGTATATTTCCTTCTAATAGTGCAATATTCATAAAACTCAACTTGTTATTTATAAATAGTCGTAGAATTAATGTCACTTCAGCCAGGTGAGCCAGGTATAAAAAAGATTGTAACACCATGCATATTTCCTTCTAATAATGCTATTTTATCAATGCACTCACTATTCATTAAACAAAACTTGTGTAATACAGCACAGGGGTTCAATGCAACTAAGTTTCAAGTAAACTTTTTTTAAAAATCTTTTGACCATAAAATAGTAGCAGCATAAAAACCAAAAGAAAACAAAAAAGAGAAAATAACCATCAAATAGAATCATACAATAAGTACTCCATAGTAGAATGGACACTAGCTACAAATCACCTAAGATCACAGTCATTTGTTTACCTGTTTATATCAGCAACCAACGGCGAGGCATATATGCTAGAACTAACTTCCGTCTGCCATCTTAGCTCCAAATGCTGAGGACATTGTGTATTCAACAATTCATCCTCGTCTCTACAGACATAAAACTGTGTTAGATTAGCATAACAAAAGTGAGAATACTTCATTTCCAGATACCCGACAAAACCCAATTTTAGATACAACACAATCAGCACATGATTGTCTATGCATACATGCACATACACAAAGGCTATAGTATTTCTACACGCACTGAGTTATAATTGTGACTTCACGAAATTATCATCAGCTGTTTCACAAGCAATGAAAAAAATGGAAATGCATCTCAAATTGCCTACCAAGTATTATCAAGCAAAATCAACAAATGAAAACAGTTGAAATACATAAAATCTTACGAATGATACAGTATGAAAATTCATTAATTTCTCCGATTCATTATTTATTAGAAACGGAAAAAGTAAAATTCAAGGAAAAGGTCAAAAGACACTTACAAATTGGGATAGCCGAGGGAATCATCACTAGCCTCCCGTTCTCGAAACTTGTTTTTGGTTTCCTCCGAATGCGAAAAACGAAAATCCGAAGATAAAAGGAGAAAAAGGAGAAGAAAACCCCTACCTTTCATTAAGATCGATGGAATTGAAATTGCTCAAACTTGAGATACTGAAATTTAAAAAGACGAAATTGCGAAATGGCGGATTGGAAATCAATGCCCTAGGCCTAAGGTTTAAAAGAGACTGTAAACATTAAGCCCTGTGGCCTATGGGGTTTCGTTTCGGGGATCTGCGAACGACGGAACTTGCGAAGACTGAAACGAGCTCCAAGCAGCTGAATTTGGTGTTACAGAAGAATGTATTTATTTTTTATGGCCCCATTATTTTCTTCATATTTTATTTTTACCCCATGAAGATTTTTTTGTTGCGGAGTATAAATCACAAAAAGACTAAAAATTGTGACCAAGAGTTTCCCCAAAAAAAAAAAAAAAAAAAATTGTGACCAAGATGAAATTTCATAGCGGAGATGTTTGGTAACATAGTTAGTTTATCAGTTAATTTTGATTTATTTGATCATTATTAACTATTTGACTTGGTTAAACATTCAATATAAGTGTTTGATTAATTAACATTTTGTAATAGCTTATTGCTTTAAAATGCTAAAATTTAAAAAGCTACTCAAAATCGTTTTTTCGATCAGCTTTTTGAAAAAGTCATTTTGCATGTAATCAGCTAACAACTAATTTACCAAACATCTTTCTACAATCAACTAATGCTATTAACTACTCAAACTCACTAATCTAATTAGCTAACAACTATTTACCAAACACCCTGTTTGAATGCATGGAATCCATCGGTGGAAAATAGGGTTGAAATTTATCAAACACTCCATGTCCGATTGACTACTCACAAAATACACATTATTTAAAGGTTCTATGGCTAACAAGTGAGGAGGACAAATCCAAAATCAATTATTAGACCATAGATCGGGTTGCAAGAGAGAGTATTGACATACAAATTCAGTTTTAATTCGAAAGTAAAGCCCCCCTTTATCTTTAGAGATAGGCCCTTGCTTGCTGACCCGAAATTGACCAATACGAACTCGGGCTAGGATGTCTTGCTTAAACGAAGGCATACCTTAATGGCCTCTAAGAGTATGACTATGTATATATAATAATACTATAATGAGAATAGTTAAATTACTTTCCTTCGATTTAATTCCAAAAAAAAAAAAAAAAAAATCGTAATTTTTTATTTTGAATGTACAAAATTTTTCATTTCTATTTTAACATGTCTCTTCATTTTTTTACTTCAATACAGCCTTTCTTATATTCTCTTCCACTTTCTACCTCCAAACACACCATTAATCTCAATGTTCTGTTTTGTTATCTTAACGTGAGATGTTAAAACAAGTCTCATATAATTTTAGTCAATGAAATTTATAAAGTCAAACTAGAAGGATGTTACAAACTATGATGATTAATTGATTATCTCACTAAGATGATGCATATTGACTAAAGTAAATATTAAATTTCAAATAATACCAAAGCACTAATTATAATTAATCATTACCTTAATACATTTAATAAGCAATTATCACACTATTATTTTTTTGGAGGAATCACTATTTTTTAATAGAACAATAGTTATTGACCCAAAACATATTAAGACTAAACACTAAACCCGTATTTTTGTTGTGTTAATGCATCATTTAAAAAATTGTTAAGTCTAATTGCCCGTAGCATATTGTATTCTAAGATGAACTAGGAGTAGGATACTAAAATAGCTGTGCAAAGGTTATTATTGAGATGGCATTCATGTTTGGTTGAAGGGACTAAATCAAATGTCACAGAATTAGTCTCATCCTGTCAAAAGCAAATACCAATATGGTATGCTAAAGAACACTTATTTGTAGCAAAAGAGAAAAAAAAAAATACTACAAAAGCTAAAAACTTCACTGCTTCATAGGATTCATATATGCACATAAAGAGAAGGCTAGAGTTTGAACTTGACTAATATCTAACAGGACACCTTTCAATAACTTACCAATAACTAAGTAAAAACAACTAAAATATACATATTGAGCCTATGCTAATTCCTGCAAATTTAAACCTATACGCGAAAGAACCCACCAAAGGAAGACCTCTGACATTACCATGTAACCACTAACCAGTATAGCCCGCAGTGGTTCAGATATTTCTATAATGACTCTTGTTGAAACTGCGAGTGTTTACTTTCTCCACTTTTGAGAAGTTCATCACCGTCTTCTTGCTGAGCTCGAATGCTGGCGACCTTTGCTGTCGCTTTGGATCCTGTCTGCATACATCGGCAGTTGAATAATTTCTTGGATCTCATTTAATAAAACATCCTCGGTTATGTTGTCAGTAATACTTTTTAGCACCTGGTTGATTCACAAAATATAAACAAGTCATCAGAGAAAGAATCACCCAATTAAACTGATGCAAAGTACCACAAAATAGTTCTATCAATCTTTCCTTTGTTTTCACAATTCCTTCCCTTCAACATAAAGAAGAGGGTTTCACGCAGTGGCTAATTGTGGACTTTGTTCACTGTTGTTTCATGGTTTCAAGCTTAAAAGCGTTGTGCTCAAGGCTTGATCTTAAATTGAAAGGGTTCTGAGTATAATAATGATGAAAAGTGGAGTTAAGGTATACCTTCCGATAAGTGTGGTAATCATTAGGTGTTCCTTTATCTATCCTAACCCTCATGCACACCCATTCTTGATTATCGGAATTCCAAGAGCACTCTATAATTTTACCCGAGTAAACTGATGGATCAGAACAATCTGTTACATAGAAAGAAGCCAATTTAATGAAATTCACCATAAACAAAATTCCAGAAAGAAATCAAAGTACAATGAACTAATGCTACATAGATCAACACCATTAACTGATTCACAATAACCACTGAATAGGGATTGGCATACACGTGTTCTTAACAAATAAGGAACTATTTGCTGTCTCTCTTATGCCATAATATTGTTCATTTTGACATTTTCTTTAGGACCATAAGACTAACACCAAATCCAAACACAATGGAGAAAAGATGGTCTGGACCAGTATAACCATTTGTCTAGGTCAGTCTTTCAAATCTAACAATTCATTTAGGTATGGTAAATTTCCTACAATTATAAACATGCCACTGAATGTGATCAATGAAGTAAAAATGCAGATGAAAAGTCCAGCTAAAAAGTAAAAACACATGGATATGAGAAGATACATAACAGCACTGTAATTTTATTAAAAATCAAATACCGCCTGTGTAAACAATGTGAAATGTGATTCAAACTACACCAAAGATTTTGTTTCCATTTTTCAGCTAAGCATCCCCACTTGCACTGCGTTATTATCATAGCATTTATGTCAAAAGTACGAACCACCAACAAAGAGGCAAACATATCTAACCTGGGAATACAACCACACTTCCTTCCATCAGTTTCAGATTTTTTCCATCATTAAGAAAAAGTAACTCACGGTCATCACGGATCTGTCAAGACAGATACATTAAACCAGAAAAGGTGTGAAATAAAAGTGAAAAAGGACATAATGGTAAGTAATTCAAACTATAAAACTTCAAACAGAAATAGATTAATACAACTCATATTATGACAGTCAATGATACCACCTCAAAGAGGAAATCAACTGAGTTCATTTCTGCGTATTTCCACTTCAAGAGGCCCTCATGTGTTCGAGGAACATATGGATCATCCCAACCCTGGCACACATAGATTAGAAATATTTGTGCACAGTAAGACAATGAAGGAATAAAGAACAGAATCAAGGATTTAAGAAATGTGTTTTCAAGGTAGAGCCCTCAACCTCAAGGCAAACCCAAACCTATCCTTTCTCCCTCCTTTACAATTAGTAGAACATAGTATTCAAAAGGATACACCTTTAGCCCTTAGAATAAAGGAGTCACTCAGCATAAATGTTTAATTTTCATTATATGATTTAATTCAGACATATCATTCAAGAGAGTTGTCATATCCTTAAAACCTGAAAAACGAGACCATCAGCATCATGTGAAAGCTTTGGAATGAATTCCTTCAAAAGTTTGGTAACTGCAGAGAGCAGCCAAAAGTCCTTCCTTCTCACCTGGTAGACATTGGGACATTAGTATAACAAGTTCAGCAAGGAAAGAAAAGGATTTTAAATCACCTTTGGAGAATAGTATAGAGTTCATAACACATACCCTGAAAGGCTCCAATTCATATCTGTAATATGGATTTCTGCTGTGGTATATATGCTGGCGTTCCGAAATCCGAGGTTCAATAATTTCCTTCTCAATCATTTTCCATCGTTCATAAAAAGGCCTCTGTTTTCAAATCCAATTGCAAGAATATACAATTTTAGCAGGGAAACAATAGATGTACAAGCATCATCAGTGACACTGAAGAGTTACAAAACTTGCAAGTAAAACAATCTTTCAATCCCATTTGTTTTATGTTTATAAAAACATTTTTTGTATTTTAGAATGGGAAATGATGACCAAGAAACTATGCTTAATCATAACAAGGTCCAAGGAATATCCAATAAAAGAATTGTTTAGCCATTAGGGAATAGATACACTGGGCAAAGGAAACCTAACATGCTATCAATGATTTCTTTGATGCTTAATTATAGCATTTTGGGAAACTTTCCAAGATATATATATATATATATATATATATATATATATATATATATATATATATATATATATATATATATATATATATAAAGTCAAGAAGTAGTAATAATACTATAGCTTTAGAGTTTAGATGCACATGATGTATCATGCATGTATACACTGGTTCACAGTATAGAGCAACCTGATACAACCAAAACTATACACTATCCTGTAAAAACCAGAATATATTAAAATCCAATTTTGACATGATCTGTATTCAATAATCTAGTCTGAAAATCAACAGTAAATGCATGGGAGTTCAGTAATGTGATTCTCTAGAAGAATTTTCCAGACTCAAGGACTCAGATCCACTGAAGAAGTTATAGCTGAAGCTGCACTAATTAAAGAATGATCACAATCATATAAAAGGAAACTATAAAATAGTATCATACATCTACGATAGGCATGTGATTGAGCGCCATCATGTCATAAATCAAGTATCTTCTTTCCTGTTTCTGTGTGTCGGGCAATGTATCAATTATCATCTCCCCGTCAAGTAATGTGAAGTGATGGGTCTTCTCAGGTAAACCCTGGGGGAAGAGGGAAAGGGGGTATAAAAGACATGATATTGAGAATCTGAAAATAATTATGTTATACATATATAGAGAAAAAAAAGAAGAAATCCTCAAAGCTGGGTGGATGAATGCATACACCAC